TTTTTTTTTTACTTTTTTGAATGTTAGTATAGGCTATATTTTTAAATATATTTTTGAATATTTCTATATCTTATTATTTTGCTTTTATTGCCCTAATGGCAAAACGCCAAAAAGTGAAAGAAACAAGATATATTTTCTAAAGTCTTTATCATCTTCCAATGATTTTGTGTTTTAATGTAATTTTATTGTGTTGTATTAAGTACTTTATTAAGAAAATACTTTTGAAGTGTACAGCCAAACATTGGGCTTGTATTGTATATTAATTATTTTTAGGTATGTACTGTATGCTTAGACATTTTATAATATTATATATTTAAATATTAAGCAGGGTATTTAGCACCATATATCAATTTATTTTAGTCTGTTTCATTGGCTGTAAAAAATGCTCTTGTTCTGTTATCAGGTCTTACCGACTCTGATGAAGAAGGATCCATTCTGGCCCCCTAGCAGACAGTGTGCTGCAGTGATGACCCATAACGGGTTCAGAATGGAGCCTCCACAGAACACCTGCTGCGTTGAGCGTGACACCAGCGCCACCTACAGATCAGCAGTCAACTGGGATAAGTGACATCATTTTTGGTGCATAAACAGATTGGGTTGTGTAGTAGATACACAAATAACTCCATAATTTACTCCTAGATTATTTTTCACACTTCTAGATGACATTTTTGACTGTTAACACCTAAACTTTACAGTCTTTACCTGCCAAGGGATTTCTCCAGGTAAGGCCGCATTGCCACCAACAATACGGCTTTTTGGAGCACTTACTGTAGGCGACGTCAAAACATCAGCTAAAATCCACTTAGGCAGTTTAACACGAGATGGTGAGAGTTCCCCCTTCTTTCCGTTTAGAATCTGTAGGGATTGTTTGATTGTCCAGTTTGAGTATGTTGGATGTGGATTTGATTGTCCTATTGGAGGACTGTGCAGATGTGTTCGTAACAGAGGTGGGCCACTTGCAAAAGTTTTCACAGCTGTTTTACTAGCTCTGCCACAAGGGAACTTAACTGGTAACACATACAAAAACACAAACAAGTTTATTTTCTGAAATGTTTTGGAAGCACTGTAATTGTGCTTGCAATGTCTTTCTAAATGCCACTTCTGGTGTTTTGTCACCGTATACGAGAAGTGTTAAGAATTTGGAGCAATCAGACAAAAGATGTTGGCTAAATAAATCACCTGTAGGTTCACACTTGAATCCATCTTCTGTGAGTTTGTATCCGGATGCACACTGACACTCTGTCCCACGAGACTCCAGCTGAACACAGAAATGCTCACAGCCACCATTATCAACATCACACTTTTTGGCAGTCACTGAGAAACAGAACAAAACATATTTTAACGTTAAGAACACGGGCAATCAAACTTGAGGAAAGCGATGTCTGGTCAAACCTATTTCGCAGTTTTTTCCGACAAAGCCTGGCAGACAGTTACAGGTGTATGTGCCTATCTGGTCCTCACATGTGCCTCGGTTCTGACAGGGTGATGATTTACACTGGTCCCCATCTAACAAACAGGACAATTTGTGAACAACTGGTCTTTTTTCATCTGGTATTTAATGTCCAGTTCAAATAATGTGTTTGTCTTAGGTCCAGCAGAAATCAACACACATCTCCACTGCCTCATTTAGTGTAGGCCTAAGTAAATATAAAAGTTAATGATTTAACAGACTTACCAACATAACTCGCCCAAAACTCCATCTGAAAAACACACTCGCCATGTTACACAACGCAATGACAAATGACGAACCACAACTTGTCCACTCACTGTCTTTTCATCATTTTCAAAGGCTTCTCTGGCCTCCTCCAGGACGCACTTCTCCTCCATGCACTCCCTCTCCACGTTTCCATTCAGAAACTCCTCAAACAGTCCCGTGTTTGCTCGTCTGCGTCTCCACAAAATGCTGTCAGCTTTCTCCCCATCTAGGAACACTAAACCTGGGGCTGTTACAGAGTAATTAATCTTTACTAGAGAAGAACTACTGAAAGCGTATGTGTGAATTTGATAATTAACCCTCAGAGAGTCAGAAGGCAAATCCCAAGTCTTTCAGAAGTCTGATTTATGAGGCGAATAGTTGTGTATAGGTCTTACCTGCGAAGGCCTGCAGCAAAATATACGGGAAAAGAACAAGAATGAACGAAGCCATGTCAACCAAATTCAGTCCCTTATTATTCCACAGTGAGCAGGCAAATAACCCGATCTAACCTACGCTCCAAAGTACACATGTCAATCAGAATGGCACATGACATGCTGTTTGAGACACAGAAATAAAAGTAGAACAAAATAAAATTGATTTTACTGAACATTTCACAATCACAATTAAAGTTGGCAATACTCGAAGATTAGTGAAGATTTTATGAAGATTAGTGTAATACGTAAATCTCAGATATGCTGTTAACATAATTTGTTTTAGTATAATGTCAATTAAAAAATTTTAAATTTACACGTGTTTTACTTTGCAGTATTTATAATATTACATTATTTTTCCCCCCCCACACAATATAGATGGATTTTTATACATGGGTTTTATATTTTATTTTTAGATCATCTTGTTCGGGAGTCCTTGGCATGAAAATGTTTCCAGGATCAAATCTCCACCAGATGGCGCTGCTGCTCCAATGAATAGATCACTAACATGACTGTTAGTTTTTAATTCTGGAATTATCAATTTAGCATTTGCTGGTTTCCTTCAATATTAGAGAAAAGAGATGACACTATGATGCAATGAAGTACGCAACATTGTGTAGGCCATATCGTGTATAGGCCTAGGCCACATATTTTCTCCACACACAGATGGGCCCTGTATTGGGACTGTGGGAGGGGCTGAATCATGTTGGAGATCAGCCCAGTCTACACTTCAGTTCACTGTAAGTGCTCTTGATGTCTTCTCTCCCCATGGGAATTTGTTATCTTCTCAGATGGAGTTTTCTTATCGACTGTGGGTTCTTCGTTTTCATCCATCCATTACAAGGCTGAATTATTCATTTCTAAGTAATTAACACTGGTCATCAATCCCACTGTATGAGTGCCAATCAATCTGTAACTGAGATTTTTCATTGCTGTGATGGGCTTTGGCTCGCAGCCTCTCAAGGAGCAATCATCAGACTGTTATTACAGCCATAAGAGCATGACTACATCACTCAAAAAATCGTTTTTTTTTCATTACAACGCTTGGAAAAGCTTTACGGGCCCTGGCTCCTTTAATTCAGAGCCATTTTTAAAACCACCAGTCATTCTAAAAACAGAGCTATACATTCAGACAACCTCACAGCCATTCACAATCCTCTCCTGTGTCCTCATGGGATTGTAATAGCCATAGATATCCACAATAAAGGCTAGATCTCTTGTCCACGCTGCTGGCTGGCCAATGGATGTCGGCCATCTTGTCACAGGCAGCTCGCTCACTCGTAACATTGTGTTTTAATGGTGCATGTATTTTTTAAATAACCATAACTTGCTCACTTTTCTACCGATTTTCAAACGGTTTGGTTTGTTATAAACGTCAGAGATGTAGTTATGACACTGCATACTTATGAATAATAAGCGTATAAATAAATAATCATCCAGAATTATAGCCACGTTAATAACATTTGTAAGAAACCAAATCGTTTGTAAATCTGTCAAGATTTCAACGAAATAAGAGTATTTGTGTTTGTGCTGATCACTCATCTTACATCAGCTCACAAGGGTTTTGGAAAAATATAAAGGTTGAAAAAGTTACATAGTGCTGCTTTAAGTGTCCATCGTATGTAGACTGCAGAGTATTCCTGGGTGTATTATGTACTTTTTGCTTACTCTTTTATGAGTGAATACAGACAGTCTTTTGTGAAGCGATTTCGGAAGCAGCCATATTGTGTTATATACACTCTTAGAAAAAACGGTTCTATATATGTAGCATAGGGTTCTTTACTCAACTACAAAGGACCTTTTATGAAAAAAAAAATGATGATAATGAACTGAAAGAACCCTTTTGGCACAGAGGCTCTTTATAGGCTATTATTCAGTCATACATTACATTATTCTCCAACATTTTGCAGTTGTAATTAAATCATTGTTTATTAAACTGTTGTAGTAACTTTATATCACATTTTGATCATGCTGATTTTTGGAGGATAAAAACTGAAATGGCACTCTTCATGTGATATTGATTAATTACATTTTTTAACCCCCACATATTGAATTTTGTGATCATTCATATGGATTGCATTTTAGGGGTTCCAAATACAGTACGTAGCGCTTTAGAACCTGTTAAGGTTCTATATAGAACTTTTTCTTCTAAGAGTGTACCTTTATTTGCATATTTTTATTTTCAATACTTTGCCATTTTAAATACACTTCTGAAGATCTGTTCAGTGGTCCCTATGTAACAGAAGACACCATTTAATTGTGATGCTTCTAATTAAGTGATAAAAAGCAGTTGTAAACATTTTAAAAAAAAACATAATCATCTCTGCACCATAAAAATATGCAACACTTTATGTTTTGCTATCAAATTATATGTAATAGCCTATCTAATACTGTAAAGTTTTACTCGAAATCTCACAATTTCAGGGCACATGAGTTCCTGAACGTGATGCAAGTGTGTAATCCACCAGACACCACCAGACAGCGAATAACTTTACATCTGGCATGTTTAAAGACTCCATTTGTCCATTGTTTATTTTTAAAGAAACACGACAATGTACGTATAAAAGGCCAGATTACCTTGTACCTGTAGACAGGAGGACAACCTCGTGGGGGACATGGAGGCATAACGTCCGATAAAATCAAGGGAGAAGCCCATAGAGAGTCATAAAGTTGATCCTGCTGCTTCTACTCACTCATGTCTTAACACCGAGTAAATTTTACGCTAGATACCAAGCAGGTGCTGAGACTGCTTTCCTGTAGCTCAAACAGAGCATTGGCGTTTGCAATGCCGAGGTCATAGGTTCGATTGCCAGAATGTAAAACGTGTTCCTGGAAATACAATGTAAGTCGCTTTGAATAAAAGCGCCTGCTAAATGTAAATCTACTGAGACTGTGTAATGTAGATTAAAGCAGGGCAGGTTGGTGTGGTTATGTGGAGCATGTGGGAACTGCAGCTGGTTTATAACACAGCACCATTGATTCCAGCAGTGATGTGCGTCTGTCTGTCTGCCCTGTGCTGCTGGGAATTGGTGCCATCTCCAATTAGATAAAAGGCTACTGCAAAGGATCAGCCCACTGCAGAAGATAATAAAAATGTGTTCAGTGCAATTGATTATGGAGAGCATCTTCTCTCTGGGGAGGTAAGCAGATCGCAGAGGTCCCAGGACTTGTGAACTCTGCACAAGGTCAGCGTAACTCATTAGAGTCCCCAAGCCATTTGTACAAACTTATTTTTGGCCCGAAAAGCACCTGACTGGGTGTATCATAAAGTGCAGTTAGAAGGGATGAAGAGAGAGAGATAAAGGGCTGCGAATTTCGCAGTGTTAACTGTATCAGGACTCCAAAGTTTTCAGATGCTTCATGTTCCCATGATGGAATAGTTTCTTCATTATTTTCTCACCTTCGTGTTGTTTCAAACCTAGTTTCTGTTGTTGAACACAAAAGGGGATGTTGCTACTGTTTGACTTGGAATATGACATATAAGTGTATGTCATGACAACTTTGAATGTTTGGCATGATAATGGAGATGACAATATACAGTATTTGGTATAATAGGTCTTGGCGGAAAAGATGTATATGCTTTTATAACATAGGCCTACATGACACACTGCTGTGAGCAAGTAAGACATGCTGCTGTTGTACGGTAGCCTATACCTTGTAACAGACAAGCTTGTTACGAAGTGTTTTTTTTTTATCTGCAGTTCTTCTTCCACACCGCTAGGGGTGCTATGGTTCCTAAATGTGCTCCTTAAGTAAAGGTGGGTTTGTAGAGGAAGTGAGCAGAACAGCAGCAATAGAAAGCATGGCTTATCTGTATTTGTGCTATGTCCTGGTTGGGAAATGTTACATTTCAAGCTCAACTTAAAGTAAGGATTTGTTTCTTTTCCTGTTATAAAATGTATGCTTCAATGATGAAGTTTGTTGTTAAGAATTGTTGTTTATTTCAATGTATTTTAGAAGGACTCTTTATTGATGACTTGGACTGGATGTAAGCTTGGAACTTTTTGCTTACTTATGGAACTGTTTCTGAAATGGAAGAGTCAAATGCATGGATTGTTATTGGTGGGAGTGAATTTATCGCAAACGGTTATTAATCTACTGAGGGACTACTTCTACTTTGGACATTGATTTAGGATATATAAGACCTACAAACATCAATTTACACTTCATTGAAGTGTGCAACCAATGACTACATGTAAAGTAGTCCTGTAAGCTGACTGTTTCATTGTTTTGTTTATTGTAGTTGATTTGTTTTTCGTTTGTACTTACTTTTTGGGTGTTGACAATTATTGTTCTTTTTCATGGGAATATAAAAACAGATATAGTGTTTATTCATTTGGGCATCATTTTTTCTTCTTGAACAACTATTAGACACGCGGAATCCCCCATTATTGCGTTTTATAACTTTGTTTTGCATTGAGAATACGAGACGGTTATAACCTGTACCTATACAGGTGGAGATCGGGCCTATATAAAGATCATGTTTATGCTACTTTAATGAAGTAGTTTTTCCCCTGTAATTTTTAGAACTTTATATGCCCTGCTTTCATTTGTAAGGAAAAGAGCAGTGTGATATCCTTCTTAACATCTTTTGTGTTCCATGGAAGAAAGAACGCATGGATTTGAAACAACATGAGGGTGAGTGAATGATGACAATAATTGTTTTTGGAGAATTATTGCTTTAATAAGCTTGGCACAAAGGTACTTAGCCATTTACTGTAATATCAAACTTCGTACTTGTAACATGTAGAGTAAGCATATTGTATATTGAAGTAGTTTCAGATGATACAGTATGCTTAATAAAACCGCAAAATGAGGTTGAGTTTCACATGAATTTCTTCTTCCTTTCGGGAGATTGATAATTCTCCAGAGACGGCGAGGCAGCAGGCCAGACCACAGATATAGAAGTGAACATCACAGTGAACAGTGAGAACAGAGAAACTTCACACCAACAGGAAACAGCACAGTGAGGGGCGAGAAAGGTTATAATTACTTCACTTTGCTTTGTACGTTTTTGGAAGAAAGAGAGAAAAATAAACTTTGCACCATTTCAGACGAATGCAGACAGCCTAAGAATAGCTGGCTGTCTGAGAATAACCTTCACATCACGCACGCACCACAATCTCTGGATTAGCATTGACTCACCATCTAAGTCCTTACTTTTTTCCTCCCTCTCTGAGAGCGCAATACGGACACCACTCACTCCACTCCACGTGTTTACCCTGCTGCAGGGGAGCGTGTGTGGGTGTGTTTTCAATCACAGTGGCATAATGAACCAAATCTATTATTTATGCAAATTATATATAATTTTTATTAAAGAATCACTTAAAGGAGTAGTTCACTTTTAAAAAAACTTTTGCTGATAATTTACTCACCCCCATGTCATCCAAGATGTATAGGAAAAAAATATATACTATGGAAGTCAATGAGACCAGATGCTGTCTGTTTACTGCTATTCATCTAAATATCAGAAAATCGGCTGAATGGATTCGAAAACGGTAAAACTCACCTGGTTAACTCTGGGGGAGTTGGAAAATGAGCTTATTTCCAGAAAAAGTGGAGTATCCCTTTAAGGTACAATAGCACTGGTTGCTCATATGACAAAATGTGGTGGTGAATAGAGTATCTGTCCCCCATATTGGATATTTAATCATGTCAATGATGTTTCAGTGTGTTTAATCAGTTTGGATCGACTTATGAACGTTTGTCTTATCTCTCATGCTAGACATGTGTCATGACATGAAAGCATCCCATTTATTTTCTAAAGGTGACTATGGGGGCATTTACTGCTGCTGGCTCTAACATCTGTCTCCCTTTCCACCATTAAATCGCACGGAACATTCCCGGCTCTCTTCCTGTGGGTTTGTGTAGTATAATACTGCAGTTATAAATGGAACAACGGCAGGCTTGAAGAATCATACCTCATATAGTCTCCTGGACGTGGCCATTGACATTAATCTGGTATTTGTTTGAGTGCACCTCTGTTAATTAGCACAGTCTTTCTGTGAGTCTGAAAGGGTAATGCTTCACACCCACGGCCCCAGTGCACCACTCCAGGCCGGCCCAATCTAAGCAGTTGACATTTATACAATCTGCTTGATATTTAGTAGGAGGATGAAAAGAAATCGCCACTTTATGTGTGCTCAAAACCGTAAACACATTTTGTTTTCACACATCCACATTTTTTTTTTTTTGATGTACTTTAAAAATTGTACCATAAAACCTGTTTTGGGACTCTATTAATTGTGGGGGGGCTTACATGTAAAAATCTCTCATATTTGATGACATTCTCAATTTGAATCCTCACCACAAAATTATATTCTGATAAGCTGTTAAAATTTTAGAATGTTCTCAGACCTCCAGGATTCATCAAATGCCAAAACAAGACAATTGCGCATACTTTGTTCATTCATTATCATGAAGTAAAGTTCACATTGTGCCTAATAAAATATCACAGAATCTTTCTATCTTTTAGTTTCTTCCTGAGTGTGTTTTTCCAGCCCTCTGGAGCTCTGCTTGGACAAGTTTTCAGGGGATCAGTCAGGCCAGAGCTCCTCAGCTCCAAACCCTCCAGGACAGACCTAGAATAAAGCCTAATGTTTACCCATGGAAAGTTAAACAGAACTCTGCAGAGGACATGGAGGACTACTGAGGAGGGAGATAGAGAAATGTAAGTTCATGCCAGGGGATATTTCATGTGTCAAGCTCATGTTAACTTTAGCAGCCCTGGCCTTTCAAGATCTCTTATTATTCAGACTTATAGTCCAAATCTGATCTTTTGATTTAGCAAATCAGAATTAGCATGTGCGAATCACATGAAATGCAATTTTTACAAATACATTTCGAGCTACATTCAAATGTGGTTTGAAATCCTATTCAAATCACATTTTGTGAGGTTTATGTGACGCGTAGAAGTCAGACATTGTTTGTACGAAAGTTGTTGCAGAAAAAGGTTTTCTTACATGTATCTCCACCTTTTGGATAACAGCAATGTAAGAGGGATACCAAGGGTTGATTATATTCAATGACGGCCAGAAAGCAGTAGATCTCCAAAGGTTTAAGGCCGTAACTTCAAGCAACTTTCTGGAATAGTTTGCTTCAGCAACTTTGGATCTGTGGTGATCACGTTATAGATGTAGGGCTGGTCTTCTCCAGTTCATTTCCTCTGTTAAATCCTTGAGTAAAAACAAACACTGGAGAGCTGCTTTATAGTGTAGGCTAATTATAAAGGTGTAATTCTAATTGAAAGCAACACTGACACTGTTATGTAGCTGTAATGTATAATAATAGCTGCATTGTTTAAAGCAATCTATTGCATAAAGTGCTATATAAATAAACGTGATGATGCTTTCCTAACTGTTTTCTCTCTGTTCTCATTTTTGTTGTGTTTATTTTATTGAGGAGGAAGCATGCATATTTACACATTCATCTAAATATCACTCTAAGCAGCGTGGGCGGCATCGGGATGTTCGCTAACAGTATATCACTCCAAAGTTATTTCGATCTTCTTTTTACCCTTAAATGAAGAACGAAAAAGGCCTTCGCTGTGAGTATATCGGGGCCTTTATGAGTAATGACACTTTCAGCAATAAACCCAATGGGGTCTATTGTGCCAGTTTTAGACAGAGGGGATGACAGAATTGTGGTGTCAGGTCATGGCCTTTGACCTCAATTGTAACAGTTACCCCAATAGAACCTGTCATTGGTAGCTGAAGAGTTCAGATGCAAAAGCCTCTAAATGCTATTTGAAATTTTCTTCTTTAATGATGATTTTTATCAAACTTGTATATTTAAGTTCAGTAATTTCACTTAAATAACAATTAATAGGTAATTATAATTGCCATTTAAGTGAAATCACTGAACTTAAATATACAAGCTTGATAAAAATGATCATTCTGGAAGAAAATTTCAAATGGCACTTAGAGGCTTTTGCATCTGAACTCGTCATATGTGCGCTATACAGAACTGGAAGAAGTGCTGATGCAGGACAGTGGAAATTAGAGATATCCTCTCTTGGGTATTTAATAAATACCTTTGTGGGTGGTGGGCAATTATCTATACTGCAAAGTCAGCCATATAAACATCTGGTGTGTTCGCTCTAGGTATGATGTCTTACTGTAGTAGCAGAACACTGATCATAACTGTAAGTTAATTACTGTCTCAGCCTCACCCACAGCACTATTTACAAAATAAGCCCTCAAACCTCAGCATAACAGCAGTCCATAAATCACATGCTCTTAAAACACTTTTCTCTGTCCCAGAAAATTATTTTAGGAATAATCCCATATACTGTAACTTCTCAAAGCGAACACTTTTCAAATGACACATTTTCTCATCCAACATTTGGTTTGTTAAAAAAAAAAAAAATATATCTATTTGATCGACCACAATGACTAGCTTATTGATTTGAGCTCAGATGTTCATAGACTTTATTTAAAGCTGTAAACTTATAAATACTCAGATTAAATAAGAGAGAAAAGTGTGCATGACTTCTTTGAAAGCTAAAAACTTCTACAAAAGTTACTCTTGTGTTTTCCAAAGTCACTTTGAAGTGTGTGCCGCCTCCTCCTTCTGTCCTGGCTGTTTAAGTAAAGCTGCCATCAATGTCAGCCCAATAACTGAGCGTTCACAGCTGAGCTTTTCTTCATGAACATTTGGATAATTGTTGCCCACATAATACCATAGTTCCAGCCATTCATCAGTAAAAGCATTTCGAGGACACCTCTGGAAAACAACACCCCTGACTTAGTCCTTTCCAATACTGTTATTTTAACAAGGTTGATTGAGTGACAACTGAGTGGCACAATGGACAGTGTGGGAGAGTCACGTGATCTGAGCTAAAAGCATGTAGTTAATGTATCATATTTTGACACAATCATACTGGGGGATGTTTGATTGACAGTTCGGATTTAGCTGCTATTACTGTTTAGGGAAAATGGTTGGAACTAAAAAAAAACACTCAGACTTAGGGCAGGTCTCTTTCTTAAAACTATACACAAACTATTTTCCAGTTCTGAATTTATTTATTTTTTTCCATTTGAACAAATTATGTTCAGAGTAAATATTCTGTAAAGTATGTCAAGTCTGCAATTTTATGTGCAATATCTAATTTACCATTATTAAATTGTATTGTGTACATTAGTATTACTGCATATACCCTGCTCTCCAGACATCAGTATGGGATAGACCTATTATTTGGTTATCAATATGGCCCTAACAAATCATTTAGGACATTAAATGCAACAACACACCAAGGTTAAATAAGTGGTCTGTTGATTTAATGCACAATGTTGTAATTAGTAGTGGCCACTTACACAATCAAAATGCCACTTATTAAGTG